TCTGATGTGAATTTAAAAAAGTTCAACAAGACAAAACCAGCTCCGATGTGATGTTAGGACACTTTGTTTAAAATTATAGCTTTATTTAGTTAATAGTTTTACAGTCACTCTTTGTCAGGCGGGTTGAAAAATATGCAGTGATCCTTCAAATGCACAGACATGGCCGCGCGCCTCCTCCTATCCTGTCTGCCCCAGACCACGCAGCTAAATTACTCCACCCGAACCGGCATTGTAGAACCAATCTGCACATGCGTCTAACAGAAACTGAAACTTACCACTTGTGTATGTTGAACTGCGTCAAGAGTGAGTCACTGACAGATGTGGTGGAGATAATCCGGTCATTTTTCAAAAGAAAAGTTTTTTTTTTGTTTGTTTTGTTTTTTTTCCCCCTGTGCGGCCCGGTATAAATTGACCCACGGCCTGGTACCGGTCCACGGCCCGGTGGTTGGGGACCACTGATTTATAGTATTGTTTCCAGTGAAAGCCATATTACACCAGAACTCTTAAACTCTGGTTTAATACACTAAATGTGTTACTCAAAGTACATTTAGCTTGACTGTCAATCTTTCACAATCCAAAAGTGAAATTACAAAATTATAATTATATAAATTTAAGAAATTATCCAAGGTGAAATTATTTAACAAATCTATTATTCTCTAAATTCAAACACAGCATGCAATTGTTTCCCCTATTTTCTAACATTCCAGCTACATAAAATTAGTTTGACAGTAAATAATATAAAGAAAACATAAAAACTTTTTTTTTTTTGCATTAAAAACTAAAAGCTTGACCACATCACAAACACTATTCAACTGAGTTTTGTATACAAAATGTACACTCCTTTCCTGTATCTACCTTAAAAAAATATTGTGAGAAACACAATCTGTAAAAAGGTGCTGCATTTCACTACCGCCATCTTAAAACCATCCTACTGGCTAGGTGAGCAGCACTATGGTTACCATGGTGATTTGGTACAATAAATTATTATTCTGTATTGTACAGTTCAGTCAAAACAAACCTGCTATAGGCTTGAAGTCCTTAGCTGCATCACCTCCCAACTTTCTGAAAGATTTGTTCCTCTGTGTTTTAGAAGCCGTCAGATTTTCAGATGCTTTTTGTTTTTCTCCGGCTTTATTTTCACTCTGCTGCAAACTGAAAAACAAAAAAGAAAAAAAAAACATGAATAATATCTATATTTTTTTAAAAACAAGAAAAGTTCAAATACATCTTCTAAGTGAGATCTGACTGAGTAGTAAATTTAAACATCACCAGCAGCATTTTGTCATTTGCCTTCGACGGCTACAAAAATAACTTTAGCCACAATTATATTTCATGCTTAAAATTTCAATGAGTTTATTCTTTTTTTATTCAACCATTCTTTAACTTGGAATTTCCTTGAACTTAACATCTTTTTATCAAAGACCACCTGGTCAAAATGGCACACCATTAGAAAATTACAAGCCAAAAATTAATACCAATATCAAATTACATAAACAGAAACCAAGTCTGATTCAACATATAACAAGTATAAAGTCGTGATTAAGAACAACTGCTGAACTCTATGGTTCAATAATTAACTAACCATGTAGAGCTCCTATTTGCTCTTAGATCAGATTCATATTCAACACATGCTTAACAGACTGAACTCTGAGCTACTTTACTGTGTATAAATAGATGGTCTGTGGTACGGATGTACAATATTGGATTTTTGGCCAATATCCGATATGCCAATATGTTAAAACTTATTTGGCCAATAACCAATACAGATATTTTTTTCCTAGACCTACTTACAGAGATTACATAGCTTTCTCTGCTATGGAATTAAAATACTACATTATTCTGCATGGTCTTTGTCAATTTGGCCTGCTACCAAATGTAGATGCCAAAAAGGGGGCTGAAAATTCAATTCAATTCAATTCAAAAATACTTTATTAATCCAAAGGGAAATTATTTGTTGTTGTAACTTATTTTCCTCATTTCATTAAGAGATGTTATAGATACTGATGGCTATAGACAGGAAGGATCTCTTGTAAAGGTCCATGCCACAGTGGATCCTGAGAAAACTGGCTGCAGATGCTGTCTGATCCATCCACCCAGACTCGGCTGGCCTCTCGGTTCCCCCGGGCTGTAGGACCGCCTGAATGCCGGGAAGAACTCCTCCCAGAGCGATGGCCACTCCTCCCAGCAGCCTGCCGAGCTCCTCATCACTGCGGACAGCCAACTGTAAGTGCCGAGGGACGATCCCGTCCTTCTGCTGTCATGAGCCATGTTTCCTTCTAGTTCGAGGATCTCAGTGATCAAGCACTCGAGTACAGTTGGCAGGTAGATGAGAATGCATCCACAGAACATCCTTTTCAACTCATTTGAGATTTGGGGCTGTAGTTGAGATATTATTTGAGCTTTTGAGATGTAAATCAGCTGTTGGTTGTAGAAAACTGCCTTGTTGCCATAGTTACGCATCATAACAAATGTCCAAAACTAAAAAAGTCTCAGTAAAAATCCTTCCAGCTGCACATCATCCGATACCAGAGGAAACAATCATCCAAAAAAATGTGATTTACATCCAGAAAAAGAGGAATTAAAGTTTCCAAAAGCAAAATCTCAGAATGAAATTAACAGAGCTGCTCCAACATGCAGCCACCTTGAGCGGCGCAATTCTAGAACTGATGATGTAACTCATCAACTTGGATCATGTTTAATGTCAAATTTATTAATGACATTTACTCTAACACAATGACAACACTCAAACAATTCAAATTTGTAACTTTTCACAAATCTAAACTGAACGGTGCGTGTGACATCATAGCGTTGTGCTGGCACTGCAGGCATCTTTGTAACTGGGTTGTCATACAAAAACAATGCCCCA